AGAAATTGGTGTAAATTCTCTTTATAACATCATCGGATTAATGATAAATCAATAGAACTCTCAATAAAGAAATGTAGGTTACAATGAAATGATTTGAAAATAAAATTTGAGTATTTATCAATAGTATGTGTGTATGTATTTGTCAAGTGTTGGACTAAAGTACAGTTGTACTACTTAAAATTTTTATTTTACAGGAATTAAAAGAAGAAAATTCTTTCAGGAATCCAGTGGTTTTATATCGACTGCATTAATTTTAAAAAATATTTACAGTAGAAATACTTTGTAATCTCATTAGAAATATTATTGTATGTTCCTATAAGGTGTTGGAAAAAAATTATTTTCGCCAGTCTTTGCATTGTGGTAAAAAATATCATGGTGTGTGGTAGAAAAGAGTGATGTTTTTACGCATTTACGACTCTGGAAGTAATAAAAATCACTTACTTCTCTGGAATTTGACATTTGAATGGAGTACTTAAAATAAGAACTTGCTTGAACGAACTCCAGACATGTCGTTTTTGTAAACAGACATAAACTAAAAGCTTACAACTATTTTAACTCACATTTATTGCTGACAACTCTTCGAGAAAAATAACTTATCGAAGATTGGAATATTAATCTTTTCAATTAATAAAATAAATTTATTGTAGAATTATTCATATTAAGAAGGAAATAAAATTATGGTTTTAGATTAAAATTAAGGATATGAAGTACAAAGATGTCATAATGATATTAATGAAGATTTTTATTGAAGTGAAGAAGAAGATTTATGTTGGAAGAGAAATATATTTCAATAAAAACACTGATATTAGGTAAAACGAAACATGAAAAAATATTACAGTGAAATTGTAAAGTCTATGAAATGTTACGTAGATTTTTATCACAAAGAGTTTGAATTGAGGGGATGTAATAAAAATAGAAGGTAAAGGTATAAATATAAAAAGGTGAGTAAAGGAAGAAATGTTAGATCTCCTTACTTATACTTGGATTTTTCTGTTGTTTTCTCCTTTGCGGTCAAAGAAACGGACATATTATGTATGTGTCTGCCTCTTTGACCACCGTTGTTCAAATAAAGGAATAGAGGGAAAAAATATATATAAAGCCAGTAATAAAAGGTAAAATAGAAGAAAGTTTAGTCCCTAGTGAATTTGTTTTTTTTTTCTTATTTAAGTATGTCCATGTTCTATTCGTCTTAATTTGTATTTATATGAATGAAATTTTATTTCCAAAAGTTTTCTTTTAATATCCTTCCAAGGATAAGTAGGAATAACCTCACGCAATTTTTTTTTATGAGTGAGATAGAAAAATGATGACAATGATTTATCATTTAAAAAAAATAGTTTTAGTGTTAGGGAATTAATAAAAACGATGAATAACAAATGGCCAGCAGTGTTGAACAAAATAAATATCAATTTTCCTGAATGATTTTGCATAGTTAGAATATTTTTATTGATAAAAAAGAATTAGAGTTCTTACATTGATGTTGGGTTAATTGAATTTTTTAGTCGAATAGTTGTGATTGAATATTAGTTGAATGGATCAATACTTTAATGAATAAAATATTGAATTCTTTATTGAAAATTTTATCATTTCAATACAAACGACAGAATGTCAACAAAATTCCTGTATGAAATAATGATATATTGGCGAGAAATTGTAAAACATAAAAATGTGCATAACTTTTATGCTAATGATGCTACGGGGTTGAACGAGGACTCATACGGAAGATCTAGACGAGAGGAAAAGAGTCGATATGGTGAAAATTACAATTGTAGATTAATTCATGCTAAAATTGAAACAAGTTCCCGTTTTACCCCATTTTAAGGGTGAAATAATTGATTTTTTTGATGTTTGACCTGATTCCGCATTTCTAGGCATCAAGACGAAGAGAATGAGTGGTCAAAATTGAAAATCGGACAACTTTGATTTTTCGACCTCAAAAAATGGCAAGTGGTACCCCTTTCCATTTTTTTAGGCCAAAAAAAAAAAGTACTCCGATTTTCAAGTTTGACCACTCATTCTCTTCGTCTTGATGTGTAGAAATGCGGAATCGGGGCACCGCCCGGAAAAACTCACCTAAACACCCTTAAAAAGGGGTAAAACTAGATACACACTAAAAATGATCATCCCCTTGACTTTAAACCCCTATAACTCATGAACGGACGGTCCAATAACTGTTTTTAGAGACGTTTTAGAAACATTATAATCTGAGCTATTTAACGATTTACAAAGATTCATTAAAAAAATTTCTTTCACCCTTAAAATCGCTAAAATATAAAAAAAAAACACATTTTTTTGGGAGTTTGACAACTATTTTAGCAATTTTGAGGGTGAAATAAATTTTTTAAACAATTTTTATGGATATGAATCTATAGCTTAGATTCTGAAGTTTCCAAATATTTCTCAAAAATCATCGTCTGATAATTTTTCCACGAGTTATAGAGGTTCAAAGTCAAAAGTATATAATTTTTTGACCCTTACTAGGACTTTGGGTCTTAATAACTCGTAGAAAAATCATCAGACGATGATTTTGGAGAAGTATTTGGAAACTTCAGAATCTAAGCTATAGATTCATATCCATAAAAATGGTTTAAAAAATTTATTTCACCCTCAAAATTGCTAAAATAGTTTGCAAACTCCCAAAAAAATGTGATTTTCTTTCATATTTTAGCGATTTTAAGGGTGAAAGAAATTTTTTTCAATGAATCTTTGTAAATCGTTAAATAGCTCAGATTATAATGTTCTAAAACGTCCCTAAAAACAGTTATTGGATCATCCGTTCATGAGTTCTAGGGGTTTAAAGTCAAGGGGATGATGATTTTTAGTGTGTATCTAGTTTTACCCCTTTTTGAGGATGTTTAGGTGAGTTTTTCTGGGCGGTGCCCCGATTCCGCATTTCTAGGCATCAAGACGAAGAGAATGAGTGGTCAAACTTGAAAATCGGAGTACTTTTATTTTTTGGCCAAAAAAAATGGAAAGGGGTACCACTTGCCATTTTTTGAGGTCGAAAAATCAAAGTTGTCCGATTTTCAATTTTGACCACTCATTCTCTTCGTCTTGATGCCTAGAAATGCGGAATCAGGTCAAACATATAAAAAATCAATTATTTCACCCTTAAAATGGGGTAAAACGGGAACTTGCTTCAATTTTAGCATGAATTAATCTACAATTGTAATTTTCACCATATCGACTCTTTTCCTCTCGTCTAGATCTTCCGTATGAGTCCTCGATCAACCCCGTAGCATCATTAGCATAAAAGTTATGCACATTTTTATGTTTTACAATTTCTCGCCAATATATCATTATTTCATACAGGAATTTTGTTGACATTCTGTCGTTTGTATTGAAATGATAAAATTTTTCCAGCATTACACTGATTTTTTTCAACATTTTTCGGAATCAAATGATTCAAAAAATGGTCTGTAAATTATTTAAGTGAGTATCTCGAATCCATATGAAAAGAATACAAAACTGATGAAATATTTGTTTTTAAAAAAAAAAAAAAATAAAGAAATCATTTAATCAGTCTATCGAAATCAATAGAATTCCTTCAAGTTTTCAAAGACTTCCCTATTCATTTAATTTATTGAGACTAGAATTTAAATTAATGAATTAATCAATTCATTAAACGAATTTATTAACTGCAACAAATGGCTTCTTTCAGTTCGATATTTTCTTGATGAATAATAGTAAGAAATCTCTGTACGTACCTATTTCACTATGATTTAAACTGAAAATAGTAATCTCATTTATTCCCAGCAGTTTAAAAGATGATAAAAAATAAAACAACTCAAAAAGTAAATAATGTAAAGATAAAAATGGATGATGAAGCAAGTTCTCGACTCCATATGTTACATTTTTTGTAGATCGTAAAAGTGTCCAAGTTAACACTTGTGCATGTCGTTCTAACGTTACCTCAATATTACCCATCTGTCTGACGGCCCTGAATTATTCAAGAATTCCTATAAGATACGAGTTCACAAATCTTAGTATCTCACATACGCAATCCAGGAATTCCTGCTCGACAGAGACGATGAAATCTCTGAGACACCAAAGACATGAAAGTCATACGTTTGCATCTGACTAATGTGTATGGTAACTCTACTTGCGTGCGTACTGGGTAACATATTTGCCATTGACTGTTTGAATATACAGAGATACCAGTCTTGATATTGATAGCTATGAAGGCCGATTTCCGGAGGGTCGTGAATTCCTTTCAAATATCTATGTGCCATATAGGCTCAGCCGTATTACCAGCATGATTCCTGGCTCTCCAAATATACCAGGCGACGTGAAAGCGAGAAAGAGATGAGGAGGGTGAGTACTTCTATCGAATATTCCGGTTATCTCGAGCGCCAGGCCGGAAGCCCATCGAAATTGCGACGCCTGCGATTTTACGGGTTACCTTTGAAGTCGCCTTGATGTCGGTAATCCAATATTTCGATGTGTACACATGAAACTTATATGAGAATATTTAGAAAAAGATTGAACTTCCAAAACCCTCTTTTATCTTACTTTTTATCAAATAACCATTTTTATATCGTTTACCAAAAATTTATATTTCCTGTTTAAATACCTCTTTTTTTTTCAACTTGAATAAACCTGTCATGTTTTCATGTTGGTAATTATATTGGTACACAAACTTAATTCATACTTATAATTTTTTCTTAATTACCAATATTTATTTAGGAGAAATAAACAATGTTCCTTTATTGGTACGATCAATTTCATTATTAAGTGCAAACAAATGTTGAAGTAAATATTTCCTCATGTTGCAAATTTCTATATAATTCTACAAATTATTTATGTACTAGATCGTATTGTCAAATATTTAACGAAATTTATATTTAAAATTAAATTTTATTAGTACATTTAATTATCAGCTTTTCGATGAATTAACAATAAATATTTTTCCAAAAGTAATTAAAAACAACATATAATGTTGTTTAGGAATTTATTAAATTGACACGAGAGAATGTTTATAATCCTTGAAAAATATTAAATAAATGCGTTTAAAAAAAAAAAAATACAAAAATAATAAGCTTGCAAACACAATAATGTGAAGTTGGTAGACATGTATAGAAGATAGTTATTTTTGAGAGTTTTATTTTGTCTCTCTTCCTTCTATTGTTTTGGTTGCCTCTTCATCAAATTTCCTGTCGCTGGGAGGTCTCGACAGTTTAGTGGCACCCCTCGAGGGTTTGTTTAGGCCGTCGACGAGTTGGTCGTTTTTCCTCTTCTCAAAATGTCGTTGAAAGACCGCGCAACGTTTTCCTGGCAGACAAGTGAACAGCAAGAGCAGTCAAGGGATGAAAAAAAGACCTGAAAAAAGCATACACAAAGAGGAGGGCTTATTAACAGCAAGTATGACGTTATTTCAGAGGTATTATTTATGTTTATATGATACGACAAATAAGAAATTTGAGATTTTTTATTCGAATTTTACGGTAAATAAGAAGTAGAAGGAAGAAGAGGAGGAGTAGAAGAAAGAAGATATAACAGAGATATTTCATGTATATAAATATATACACATAGATAATCAAACAAAAAAGCTCGAGGGCACTCGTCGACGATATCGAAAAACTTGGAGGAAATAGTTGAGAAATAAGTGGGTGACCCTAGGGATCTCGTTTAACTAGCAAACTTGCAACCAAAATCCCCAAGGATGTTTTTTATTCAACTTCTTTTTTTTTTTTTATACTCTTTAACTCAATTCAAGCATCATCATGCTTTTTTCCATATTTATTTCTAGAAAATTGCCAATAAACATGCTTTGGTATTTCGTTCTGTTTGGAATTTCAAACTGAATCACTAGAGATTTCGACTATTTTTCAAAATCAACATCTTCTACAGCTTTGGGATTATCTATCTTCAGATGGACCCAAGGAATATAGGTCACTCCAGTAAATATCCAGTCAGGATTTCTTCAGAGGATTGCTTCAGGCCATACGACAAAAAATAATGTCTAAAGATATTTTATGATCAACACTATGCAATTTTCTATGCTTTACATTTTTAGTGAGTGAAAATAAAATGATAAATTTTTTTTTATATATACATAGTTTAATTATGTTGGATTATTTTTTAGTCTTGGTTCGTGTCAGGAAGTACTTCATTACCTTTTTCATTCACTCCAGCTGATGGTCAGCAAGCAGTCTCCTGGCAGGCGTTGGCCACAACGCTAATTACAGCGCACACGAAACAATGGATCTTGTCCACACGGGTAGACATGGCAGAATAAAAACCACATTGAGCTAGAGAATGAGTGTTGGACGTAGTCTTGGTAAAACGAAAATCTCAAGTTTTTAGAGGGTTTTGAGCGCCACTCTGACGTAATGCCCAACGGTAGTTCCGGAGTGGTGTCTCGTGTCTGTAGGGTCACTAGTAGAGGGCGTGCCCTCTCTACACCCTTTAAGAGGGTAAAGTAGAAAAGATTGGTAATGGAAATTGTGGTCGTGGTGAAAAAAATTCAAGTATTCTATTTCTAAAGTGAATGGAATTTGTTTTTTTTTTGTTACTCAAGTGAGAAAATTGAACTTAACTAGATAAATAAATTTATTATCATTTCTTTATCAGTGTTCTTCTAGCTCATGTTCAAGATCCTTTTGTCTATATAGGAAAGAATGTTTTGTTATGGAATACATTTTTTTCTTGCTAATTTTATTATGTTAACGAATAAGTATATCATAATGAACATATAGAGCATAGTTAAATAGTATTTTGTGCACTTTTTTCAATCATTTATATTTTATAACTATTTTTCAGTTGAATTCATTTATTGTTACATGTTTTGAAAACCAATTATTATTTATTTATTGATTTTAAAAAGATGTTGAAACTTTTTTGATGAATTGAATAAAATGTTTTATTAGAAGAGACTTAGAAAAGCTAAACTCTAAACGTATGTTTCAATAAACTTCGTTAATTACACGTAGATCGATTGGCTAATGTAGATTCGATGAACTTTATTGTAAAAACTTGACTCTTGGGATGAACTTGCCCGAGTAGATATGTCGAGGCGATCAATAGAGTAACACTAGCTTAGAGTTTCTAAGAGGCTACCTTATGGTAAGAACGTGCCGTGAAACTTGTGCCACAGCTTACTGAAAGTCAAGTTTCAGGAATAATAAGACGTGCCAGCAAGCTTTCGCCCAAGCTCAAGAAGACGAAATGGAGACTTCTCAGCTTCACTCTTAGCTTGTCCTGAATGACCTAGAGCTTTTCTTCCTTACCATACTTGAATCTTTTTTGAATACAGTTTATTATTTAAAAAAAAAAAAAAATCGACATTTTGAGAAAAAGATATTTACATAATTTTTATCTGTTGAATTTTTTTCTTTTCTTCTAAGTTATTTGAGATGGAAATTCTTCTCGTTTACTCTTTCATTTTCTCACGATCTTTCGCGTAAACTTGATGTCAATGTCTTGAGGCTATTTTTTGAAAAAAGTCATATCAAAGTCTCGTTATAATTTTCCAAAAGATTTTACATTTGTAATATTACTAGTCTAATACTACTTGTACGTAAAAGTATCTTGGACTTTTTAGCATCGTATTTCGATCTTCTTCACTACTACAACTACCATTACTTCTCTACTACTTCTCATTCTTATGACAATCTTCTTCGTTTTTTTCTTACTGGAAGTCCATTTCCATAATGGCACTCAATCCAGAGTCCACAAGCGATTGGGAGGATCATTGATGTCCCAGACGCGAGAGAAATCGTTTCGTGAAATGTGAACTAAGTTATCAGACTCACAGTAGACTGAATAAAAAAAAAGGAAGAATGAAAATAATGAATAATAGTTGGTGCTGAGGAGGAATGCAAAATGTTCGGAAAATGCCAAGAAATTTTCAATAAAATTTTTATCATTCTCTCACACAGAGTGAGATGATTAATTATGTCAAAATTATAATAAAAATTATTTCATTATAATTAATAGCCAATTGAATTTTATTTATTCGTTGTTAAATAAGACAATTTTTCAATCAATGGAAATATAAAATCAATACTTCCATGTATTAATTTAATTATTTCATTTAATTTTAAATGAAATATTTTTTTTATTATTAATAAATAAATTTGAGAAAATTAAAAATATTACAACTGGGTTTTTAATAAACTAAATGTATTGTAATATTTATTTCAGCAAAATATTAAAGGTATTTTTATAAAATACTAAATAAATAATAGTAAAAAATGGTATTAAGTTCTAAAATGTCAATTAAAATAATTAAATGTAAATGATTTAGTGTATAGTCATCTCTGTTGGTTATTTATAAGCTTGAGCGTATCCTTTTAATCCGATATTTGCTTGCTATTCTCATAACTCATCAATAAAACCACAGCAGAGTTAACGAGAATAATCGCTAGAAATATATCTCCCAAATCTTCTAGAGTGAAACCTATGGTTACTTAAAATTCAAGAAATTCAACAAGGCAAGATTAAATGTAACAAAATCTTAACTACACAAATAAAAGTCGAAAAAAACTTTATAAAAGATAAGAATAAGTTTTATACACACTGCAACGGTAGTAAAATTAAACAGAAAAAAATTTACAGCTAAGAAAAAAAAACAAGTCTTAAAGTCAAAACAATGGAGTCTCCGAATCGTCCAAGAGTTTATCGACCTGAGTTGTCGTTAAGATTAGAAACTGCGACCGTTGTCCCTAGAGTTTTACCTTAGCAGGTTGAGTCTTAAAGAATGAAAAAGCACTAGCGTAACTGGGGGGTAAAAGAAGTACATTCAACTGGAAGAATCTGAGTAAAAAGAGATCTTCAGAACGTGTGTTTGAGGTAAAGAAAGGAAGAATGAGTGAGATGGCAGTTTTAGGAGTCGAAAGTCGTTTTATTGGAGGCGATAAATATTTTTATAGGCCCCATGCGAATTACTAGTTTTTACAACTGCCTAGCAGAAGATTTGCTGATCCTTTTCAGCTCAACATCTTCATCTCATTTATTCTCTTATTTTTTTATGATTTTGCATCAGCTTTCATTACTTTAAATCTACTAGATTTTATCCTCACATTTTTTTTAAAATCATTTCTTCACCATGTTAACTGTGAAAAAAAACGCCATTGTTACAATTTTAATTTTATTTAAAACAAAAAGTTTATTTTAAAAATATCAAGTGTAGTCAATAAAAAATCATATTGCAGATCAATTTTTTAAATTTTTGATAAAACTTTGGTGATAAAACGTAAAATAATTCAATGCTAGATAGTTTTAATAATATTTGAAATAAAATAATTCAAGGAATAAACGAGTAATTAAAAAGAAATTCCTGTTCAATTTTCAACAGCTTTATTCAAGAAACCTTTATTTTTATGATTTCATTAATAAATTAAATGAAACTTTTATTCTCAGTAGTTTTGGTCTTTGAACATTCATCGAAGTAGTAAAAACTTTTGTAACGATAAAAGTGTCTATTAAATAATATGAAAAATTTTTTGATGTATTATTAATGATTGGTCATTACAGAATAATTATTCTACTGATAATGGTACTCTTAATGAGATTAGTTTGGTCTCTACTGATCAGAAATTATTCGATAGCGCAATATTGGAAATTTGTGAGAACATTACCTCAAACATCAATTAGTGAACAATTCTCATCGAGAGTTATAACATTAATATGTCACTTAATTTTATTATTATTCTACGAGAGTGATAATAAATATTTAAAATCCAAGCTTTAATTTAAATCCAAATATTTAATGAAATCATTTATGATAGATAAATGTATATAATGTCAACATTATAATATTATTAAGCTTGTGTTAAATAGGTGTTTGTGTCTCGTTAAGTGACTTTGATGTTAAGCCAAAGTCCTTCAAGTGAATGCAGTAGTAAAGAGGAAGGATATTGTGGCAAGTACAGAGATGAAAATACTCACAGACACACAAAGACTTTTACTTCCAAGGTAGAAAAATAAAATATGAAATTATTAAACATCCCAACTTCTTCCATCACTGTATAAACCATCTTCTTGACTTTTTTTTTCATCTAAATTTTTTCTTCTTTGACTTCCTTCATACTTCTTTATCTTTGTATACTAATGAACTGACAAAACTTCCCTCCTTACTACCTCATTATTACTTCAATTTAATAACTTCAACAACATCTTATTATTTTTTATTTTGTGTTGTATTCTTAACTAAATTGATTAATTTTTTTAACTATATTTTCCTAAATAATATTAATATTGTTAATAATATATTATTATTATTATCAATATTATTAATAATTGTTAATATTAATAATAAATAATATAAATAATAAAAGAAGTTAATAATTTTTTTTACTAGTCTACGAATTAACTATAAAACACTAAATCTCTCAACTTAATCGACTGAATTCATTAGTCTGATCGCAGTTAATATCAAAAATCAGCAGCGAGAATAAGCTTGAACCCAGCTTATTGTGTTGATGATCGAGTACTCTCTGCTATCAATTGATTAATTATTTCAACAATCAGGCTCAGAGCTTTTAATAAAAGAAAATCCTAATCCCATCAATATGATAATTTAATATCACCAGTAAAACCTATTCATAAAAAAATGTCTAACAAATTCAAGTCAACCTAAAACAAAAAAGAAAGGTGATTGAGAAAATAGTGAAGTTGTAAGTAAAGTAGAAAATGGTGTCATTGAATCGATGTATATGTAATACGATTAAAATAATAATTATGTCAAGACTTGGCAGTATTCAAATAGTAGTTGAAAAGTTTCAACAAACATTCAGTTCATTAAACTCTCTCAAGATTAGTATATAATGCCTCTTGAACTATATACACTTGATGGTATACATATATAACTGGATGTATATAGGCCAGTCTGACGAAAGGTAGAGTTATACTACTTAGAATTTCTAATGAGTCTCGCGAGAGCAATAGATCACCTGAAACGTATGACAGATCGAGGATCTGACAGCCGTAAATCCCCTGTCTATTCACAGTGCGTCGTGGCCATGTATTTCAAGTTGTATTACCACGTGCTGTGAGTGCACCAAGAGAAAGAGATGACAACATATAGGCTCTCATAGTGGTCGGCCGCGAAACCGAGAAGAGCTTGTATACCTCAATGATCATATATGAAAGTGGAGAACATATATATCTCTCTTGGACTGATAGCTCTTTCAATCTCTGCTCACTCTAGCAACAGCTATCGACATGGAATCTTCACATGGTGACGAATGAATTGCATCTGTGTACAAGTGTAGATGTGGTTGTGACAAGTATCTGAGTGTCTCGATGCCAACGACAAGAAGTTGAGTTCGACGAAGCAAGATATTCGTCTTGTATGACGTCGACTATCCAAATTGAGAGTCGATCGATTCAATACTCGTCTCTATCTGATTTTCTTTCTTTTTCATTTCCCCAAGAGCATTTCTTACCCCTAGCTTCCGAGATCCTAATAAAATTTCACCCTCACCGACGAGGATAATATTTTCCTTTTTTCCTTCATCGTTTACTTCCCACACCAGTTGCTGATATTTTCTTTTTTTTTTTTGTTCATTTTTTTATTTATTTATTTTTTGCCTACCGGGCAATGTTCTCGCTCTTGAGCTTCGTGCGAGAGCATCAAATTCAGCGGGAGATAAATAATAGGCGCACAGGAATCCTAAAAGATAGAGGATGAAGAGAGGGATGGAAGCGTAGGAATGTGTGTGAAATCACGTAGAGCTTTGAAAATAGGTGGTAGACTTGCTGGTTCTACTATCTATGCTGCTATAGTCCAAAGCCATAAAGGTTATCGTCATTACACTACACGGCTCGCTCGATATCCGCACGATTTTACTATCCACAAAGTGTGCTGGTAGTTGGAAGAATAGAAAATACGTGGAAACTGACCAAATTCCGGTTTTGGAGTACGTTAGATACTCGTAACTACTATACTGGAGTAAGAAGTGCTTCGCTTAATGTCCCGGTTAATTATAATTGCATCGTTTATTATTCGGGAAATATAATTCTCTCACAATCCTCTTCTACACAGTACAGGCTATTATGGTCACTAGACAATTTAATTTAATACCTAAATAACTGAGATGTATTTAATTTTATGCTACGATTCATTCAAAGTTGCTGACTATTCATGCTCTAGAGAGGCACTTTCAATTGATTAACAAACGCACCACGTAAAAGGTAAATACTTGGATTTCAATGTTGATTCAACAAGCTTGACATACCTTATTTGGTGTATGCTGATGCCCAATAGTTGTTGCTGGTATTTTTGTTGTATTTCAATCACGAGAAGACCTTTGCATCTTGTAGACGTTGGAATTGTTCATTGGAGATTCTGTAATAAAAAAAATTTATTCAAACCTTTGGTATAAAGTCAAGATATTTATTTGGATAGAACTGGGAAAACGTTTGATAGTCTAGTGACTTGCATTTATAAGAAATCATTTTGATGAAGACAAAATTATTGAATTCATATCACTAGATTTTTGAGAGTTCCATCAACTCTTTTGTCTTTTAAATCAATAAATGATCGATTTTATTACATTTTATAAAAATTTACTGAACATCATAGGCATTAATTTGATTATTGATATTTTTGAATAAATAGCTCTAGAAGTTGAAGATCAATTTCTTTGATAAAATTAATTGATTAGTCATTATTATTTCTTTTATTTTTTTATGTGGATAAATGTGTTGATAAAAATGGAATAAAAAGTTTAAATAAAATTTATCACTGAATAAAATAAATGGAAGATATTTTTAGCACTGATTTTAGTGGATATTTAGTGTGTTATGAACTATTCTCTATAAATATCAAGTATTGATGAGAAAAGTTTGCTACACTGTTAAAAAACTAAAATAAATATTAGAAAGTATTGGGTTGAACTTTTATATCTATAATTAATTCAACTCATATTTTTTATTGTTTTATATATAAAAAACTGAAAATCACTTCTCTTTGTGTAGATTGGAAATAAATTCTTGATATTGCATATTCCCATGACTAGGAGTTTTGCTAAATAGATAATAATTCTCATCATCACGTCTAGACTTCAACTTGACTTATCATCAAAAACACCCTTGAAGTTCTCTCAATATCTCCAATAAAAAAATTATCATTTTGAAAAATAAGAAAAAATGATGGAAAAAAAATATAGAACCAAGTGTTATCAATCAAATGAATTCAATTATATTTTTTTTTACTCAAAAAATTCAAATATTTTTCATATTGATTTTTTTATCGTCCAAAACCATATTTAATTCATGAAAACCCTGGCTATTTTCATTCAGCTGTTCATTCTCTTTATTTAATCATGAGCTTTTCGATCAGAGGATAATAGTTGATGATATTTTTATTACAACATTTTATCAGGAATGATTAAAAAGAACACGACTTTGTTATTATAATATATATTTAAGATAAATTGATCCTCTCACCAACTCAGTTACTGTATCGGATTACGAAAGTGGTGGATTCTGTCGGTGGCAGGCATGTCCATGAGATTCCCGTGTGTCTATCGGACGCTGGGAAACCGCAAAATACGTAGTGATAACGTCACTCTGTGGATTGGTACCCATGGTAATCAGCATCCAACGTCCCATCAGAGTTTCCAGTGAGCAGTAATTTTCGAAATTACAGGTTGCCAATTTTAGTCAGTCTGTCAAGCTGAAATTCATTTGAACATTCTCTTAATAAATTACGTAACTTTAATAATCTCTGTCTGGACAGGTGAGGTGAAGTAAGTAGATAAATCCATATTATGTCGGACATGTGACTAATAACATTCAGGAGAATAATTATTATGCTTGTATATATATTTTTTTATTTCTTATTTGACTGTATCATTGCTAAAATAACATTTCTGAGTGCACTTTGACATCAGAAGAATGTGACTTCTGAAAAGCTAAACAAATTTTCGCGTCTCCGATATCCGGAGTTTTCTTTTTTAATGCTAACATCACATCATGAGAAAGTAAAAGCATCGGGGTCACAGGGGATGAGTGCAACTTTTTTTCTTGTACGTCTTCAAGGCTCCAAACTAATTTGATCTCGTGTCTGAAGGCACTCTTTGAATAAAAGTACTTGTCACTCCGTATTCGCTTCGAGGCTTCGAGTTTTCTACTATCTCCTTGTCGTCTTTCTACTTTGCCTCGTATACTCAAACGAATTAGAGCGCAAGAGAAGTCACTCACATTTTCTATCGATCATCCATTAAAAGAAAAGAAGAAAAAATTTCCTTTTCAACCGAAATAGAAAGAAAAAAATTCAATTATGTCGAACGAACGATCTATTATTGATGTTTCAAATATTTATTGTTTATTCAGGTTTATTCAACAGGTGAGAAGAAAGATATTGGATTAATAAACACTTTTGATTCTTTTATTTTTATGTCATATTTTGAAATAGAACGAGAAAGAAAAGCCCCCTTGGATTTTATTTTAAATTATTTTTTGTCTAGACTAAAATAGAGCTGGAAATTAATTATGTTTAATTAATTAGGAATAATTATAGGATACTAATGGATAAATATTGAGAGCAAGATAACTTGTTTTCCACTAATCATTTTACAAACTAATTATTTTTTCAAAGATTCAGTAACTTTCCTACAGAATCTATTAGCTCTCACCAAATTTCAAAACTTTCGTAGGATCTATTTAATTTTTCAGAATCTAAACTTTTTTTGAAATTTAATAACTCCCTTGCTATTTAACTAACTTTGACGAATTTCAAAAATCTTTTACAGTTTCATTAATGTTTTATCACCAACTAATATTCCCAGCATCTCCAACCATTCCTAAATCCAAAGACCTTTAAAAACTAATCATAAAAATAATTTTATTTATCAACTAATATCAATTTCCACTTTCTTTCATTAAAGTATCTAGGACACCTCAGTATAATATATATAATACATAAAGCCAGGGTGAGATGGCCAATCTACTTAGTTTCAATAAACAACGTCAAGATGAATTATGTTGGTGAGATAATTTATTCAAAATAAGCTTGCTATTTTCATCAAAAACTTATCCATGAATCATGGTCCATCCCTCTATAATCCTAAAATGACAATAGATAAACGATGTACCCTCGTATCATTCTATATTTAGCCATTAGTTGGTGCTATTCAATCTCCATCTCTTTCTTCCACTTTAGCTTGTTGACAAAGTTAATCCTCCAGTCGAAGCATGCTTAGCTAAGAGCCCGTTTACTGTGGCGTTCAGCTTGTTTCGCCACATAGCAACGGCTATTACCATGGAGCATCCAACAGTGCTGCTAGCAAGAGTGAGACTCTGAGGGTATCTTGAGTATTCGTGCTTTCGTGGACACGACATAGGCCACAGTAGTCATGGAACGTGTTCCTCGTATTTTAGGGTGATGTTAGTTCTGGCGTTGACAAAGGCTATGTAGAGTAAGCTGGAGGGCGTGGATGTGTATAAAGGCGCCACAATGCTCGTATGGCCGCCCTTTCGCACGAACGCCTCGTGTATTCTACCCTTTAAACTGTCACCCTCTACCTCCCTGGCAATCTCTTCTACTGTCTAGCTATACTGTTCCGTGGTTTTCGGAGGGCAATGCACTTATGACTGCTAGACTTTCCACTCAATTTAACTTACAACACCTGATGAGATCCGTAACTCTGTCTGATAAAAAAAACCCCCTCATCTTTTTTACACCCATTAAAAAGATCAAAACAAACTCTTGTATGATGTTGAGTATTTGAAGGGGGATACCAGTTGAGCCTTTCAACATTTTATGGGATACACAAGGATGAAATGAGCTCTAATTAGGTGTGACTTTCATCACCACAACATGATAATCCGGTTGATGAATAATCTTTATGATTTTAATTATTTATTTCAAGTCTTTTCCAGCATTGCATCTTGCACTTGTTATGGTTTTACTAATTGGTATAAATGGAGTGTGAAATTGTTATGAATTTATTTTTATTTATTTCAAGGATGGCGAGTATAAGTTTACATCCCTTTTAATCTTCCTGTTACAGACAATATAATCATGGTACGAGAGGTATAGTTTTAATGGAGATGAATACATGCAGTGTACTAACAAAGGTCGAATGAGAGTGGTATCTCAATGAAGAAGAGTTGGAGTGGTATGAAATGGGGAGATTTTCCCTAGTAATAATCCATGTTGCCAAAATGTGAAAAATTTTCATTCTTCAACTTTGATTATTTAGTCATAAATTTTTTTTTTCTTGCAACTTGGGTTTTATTTTCCTACGTGAAATAAATTCTAATGTCAATCACGTAATCTAGGTTCTTCAAGTCTGGTTTTGAAATAATTTCATTCAGCTTACTTTACTTTCTTTTACCTTAAGTAACTATCAGCATTTCATATTCATATATAAACGAGCCTTACAAGAATTGAATCTTAGTTAAAGTCAACAAAACGTATCGATGAGGTCAGTAAATTACTCAGTAAGTTTACGTGATTCACAAGTAAATTCTATACTATAGAATCTACAGTTAGTCTAAGCATTGAACCCTCAGAAGCATGTTCAAGTTAAACTTCACTACTCTATTGAAACTTTAGAGAATATATTTAAGTTTTATTCTACATTTTTAATCATCCAATTCATTAAGATTTTTTTTTGAACTTTTGAAAATAAATTTTCATGTCTATTACATAATAAACATAGAATGTCTTTATTTACTCGAGTAATGAAAGCATTGTTTGTCTCTTTTCCTGCCTTCATTCATGTGATAATAATTAAAAATATTTTCAGTACTTTGAATGGGATAGCCATGCTTTGAAAGGTATCGCACGCTTTAGTGTACCAACCAGTGGTTAAGAGTTTCAATTTATTTTATGCTTCAGTGATTCGAGACATTGGTGAGAGGAGTATATTTATTTCACTCAAATTGAGATAAATTTTGTTTGACTACGATGAAAATGGAACCAAAGCTTTATTTTATATACCCATTTATTGTATATGAGCTTTTTCAAATGTAATTCAAAGGAAATTAAATTTGCACAGCAACTGAGCTGTGCAAAAATTCAATTTTCTTTTTCACCATATAAATGATAATAATACCAACATAACGATGATAACAATGATGGTAATAATGGTGGATAAATAAATAGTTTTTTATGTTAAGTCATTATACTGAAAGTGTCTGTAGTTAAGTGTTCTCGTCACGAACCATTATGCATGCGCCTGTCAGCAGGTGAGCTTTCAAGCGCACGTGGGAAGAAAAATAGCCCAGGTGACTTAGCAGGATCCAACGGTACCAGCTGGGGCTTACACAAAACCTTTAGTACACCACGTCCGCTCTGTTCATTTCCCATTCTCGTAGCTTGTCTCCACGCATCCAACCTAGCTCTCGCGTCCCGGAACAATTTTTCAGAGTTTCGTGGCTCCGCGGTGACGATAGGGAAATAAAAGAATGGAAGCAGAGCAACGACAACAGCCGCCAGATCATGATGAATAGTTGTAGGATCCAACAACGACTCTCACCTCCATTTACTCATACTAGGTCTATTCTCCACCATACTCTCCATCCATACTTTTCATCAGATTCCACCAGCCTCGTGTCTGTATTGCTCAACAGAGGTGTTGAAGTTCATACTGATGGTGAAAACAATAGAATAGTTTAATGGTCGATGTGTATACCTACTAATGATTACACTCACACGTACAAAAACTTTAAACTTGCTATTCCCTTTGCTAGTTCATTGTTTCTCGAGAAACAGCTTGGGAATGTGGTGTAGAAAAGCCACTTCTAGAGTTTCAAGCTCGCATGAAGTCAATTAATCATCTCTACTGGAAGAGCAGAAGAAGAACAAGAAGCCGGATATGCTCCTCTGAAGACGCAAACAGAAAAAGGAAAAAATATTATCTATTCGCAATGATGTAGTTCTTGAGAGTTCCTTTTTTTATGAAATATACTGGCAAAACAATTTATTTACTGCTAAGTAATTTTATTTTTATTTGATAAATGCTTGATGGTTTTGATATATTAATGGTTGCTGATGATGATAAACTTGCTTTCCACACTCTCTTATCAGTAAAAAAATTTGCCAACAAAATTAATAGATTCATGTTGAAGAAAGTTACCTATCAACATCTCTAACCAGAATTGTATGATCTTATTATTAAAAGAAACCTACTAAATTTAAAATGATGACAATATCCTTTCTTTCTACTGACTGGAATACCTTTAAGGAAGTTGATTAATTAAAGATTACTAGCCAATAACAAATATGACAGTGAAATTAAGAAAATAAATATAAACTGAAGCTAAAAAATTACCAATTCGATGATAAACAAAATTTTTTATATTGTTTGCTTTGATATACTTTTTTTTTATAAAAAAAGCACCAGGATATAATGAAATCACTTCGATGATGTTCAATATAATAACTTGCATGTTACATTTCTTCAAACAGTGATAGCTAAAAAAATAATAATAATTCCAAAACCTGGTAAACCTACAGATAAAACTTCATCCTCCAGTACTTGACAAATTAAAAGAGAATATATATTCCCAATAATATTTTTTCTTTTGTGTACCAACCATTTTCATTAATAAAAATCAATATTTACTTAATTATTTTCTATGATACAAAGTGTTGAACAATACATGAAAAGTAACTTGTTAATCTAAAAAATTTTATCACGAGTTTTTTTGTTTCCAAGTTTAAATTGTGTTTTTAAAGTTGAAGATACGAAAGTAAATTTTGTTTCTATGAAGATTACAAAGGCGATATACGTAATTACGTCATTTATCTTATTCTTTCTGTAACGTTAGTATAAATGTAAAGAAGAGAATGGTAAGATCGATGAGATCTTTATGCTGACAATGTCTCAATGAGCTTGTTACCTTGATGAAATGGATGTGAGGGAGAGAAACAAGATTATACGCTGCTCAAGATCCCCTTAAGTAAAATTACATCAGTTGAGCTCTTTGACTTCTTAGGATTACTTGCTGACATTTATATTTCAAGAATCATCCGCTTATTGTCATTTTTTGACTCTACAGAATCGAAAAAGCTGATCATAGAAAAATGATAAAAATGAGATACGATGTAATATCGAATATCCAGTCTGTCATACAGTCGTATTATTTTTTTTTCCTTTTTCTGGTACTCTGTATGGTATTGCCAGCAGCCACAGAGAGGGTATTTCTCAGTACCTGGACCATACGAATGCTACTGGTATCGGGTTATACTCTTTGACTCTGGACAGATCAAGTGACCTCTTGCTTCCATATCTATCGTTGTGGTATTCTACACCCTCACAATCATTTCATATCGGTGTGTATATACATAATATACGAGTCGCGACCCAGCAGTAATTTCGTGCAGCTCACCACCACCGTGGCTAGGAAATTGTATCGTTCAGTGTCCGCGGAAGCTTCGTGGTGTCCAAGCTGGGATTTATCGTCCTCGATGAAAAGAACTCAGTGAAAACTTTCATGAGGCTTCGGGAAATCTTAGGATTTTCTTCATCCACCGTTGTTATTCTACCATGATTCGACGAATTTATGAAGTGAATCACTAGATATATCCTATGATTTATGTAGTGAACCATGATGTTTTCGTCAATTTTTTTGATATATTTATTCTATACCTTTCAAAATCACCAAGAATATTTTCTATCTTTGATTTAATATCATTTGAAATGGTTTAAATTACAAATTTTTATTTATAAATAAGATAAATTAATTTCTTGGTCAAGGTATTTTTAATTTTTCTCTTGAGATTGGTAATGGATAAATAGAATTATTGTTAATGAATGATAGGATTGTTATTGATAAATAGGATTACTCTTTTGGAGAGGATGAAATTTTTCTCTCAAAGATATTGTGAATTCTATTCATGAGAGTTTATCGATTAATTAATCTCAAAATCCTCAATCACATGCAAGTTACACCGTATTCAAGCTCTGGAGTCTCTATCTGTTTATTTATTCGTCGTTGCTACATCCACCAATGCTATCTGATGATGATCGCGTATCTTTGTCGTATGTATAAAATACTCTGTCCTTAAATAAATTCTCAATCTTTGCATTGATAGTTGGAGTTTATCACAAGATGTGTGATTTTATAAATAAAAAATGGTCAATTGTGACTAGTCAATCAAAACATTCGGTAATAACGATTAAAAAAAACAAATATGAATATTTATTTCTTTTTCCTTTCAATGATAAACATTTATCGTATGCTACTTTGACTGGTGTAATAATAATACTATATTTCATTCTAATCCCAACGTTCGAATAAAAACCACTGCGATTAAATGAATTGAAATATATTTAATACATAATTCTATTTGCCAAATTAATCACCTTAATGCAAATTATCCATTATCTAAATAAAAATAAAATTTATTTGCATGGATCATTGACATTGTTCACAGTTGCTGTGATGCACTTTTTATTGCTGTATAATAATTATTGTTTATACAAAAATGAAATGTGAAACATAGATTGTTTTCACACTGCAAATTTTGATTTTTTAAAAGTGTCTTAATTCAATGCACCAAAAATATTTAAATATGAGACCATGTATTTTATTAATGCACTTATTATGTATTAATGCATCTTATAATACATTGTATAATACAAAACTGTTCTTCATGAGGATGCACAAAAGATCAGACAGAATAGAAATTTTAAAGAAATACTTAATTAAATGATAAAAATAAATTTTTAACAATAACTTTTTTTTTTATTTGTAATTTAAAAAAACACTGTAAATCGTAGTGTTCTATTTTAATGCACTACAAGTGTGTAATGCATTAAAAAAATTCTAATACGATGTCATAAAATATTTTTACATTGAAATAAAACATTTAAATTAAAATATACAAAAAAAAGTCATGTTGTTATAAATAATTTATTTCTATCATTAAAAAAAGTGATTCTAAAAATTTCCTCTAACATTTTATTATGTTTGATTTCTCAAATATCTTGGGGATAAATTTTTTTTACATGAGAATGTAATGATTCATTCAATTAAAATTTCAATTAATAAACTTTCATTAAACAATTCATTATTTTATAATAATTATTAAAGCGTCTCCTATTACTAGAAATAATTTTTTCCATTCAATAAAGATACATCTGCTTTAAAAAATGTCAAAATGATAAAAGATATCAAATTCATTAAAATATTAAATGTATTTCAACCTCAAAGTATGACTTGATAAACTCTACATTGATATTTAAAGAAATCATTTCCTTTATATTCTGAGAATAATAGCATAAATAATCAAATAATCTATCGACTGATCACTTCATAATAAAGTTGAGATGAAAGTGTTATTTCCAAACATTATATATTATATCGATAAGCTGAAGGCAAAAGTTGGGCAAACTATCGATATAATAACTAGCAACCAACACGAAACAGAATGTCACGAGTGCAGGAGTAGTAACAGCCACTGAATGTCAGGCACACCGGAAGCAATAACGCGATTCCCAAATGTGCGATTTTACGATGGCAAATTCGGACGGCTGCAGTAGACTGGGCGTGTGCTTGAACCATTCGAGAGACGTCACGTTAAATTTCGTGGACCCTTTGGCACCAGCGTATTGCCAATTTAACGGAACGGCACCTGCGATGGTTGTTATAACATAATTATATAGAGTGCGCAGTGAGGGCAGTTCAAAGCGTGTTGCAAGAGAAGCCCGCGATGATGCAGAACACTAGGGGGATGGGGGTGCGTGCGCTTAACGAGCGCGAGAGCGCAATGTAGAGGGTGGTTAAGTTGCACGGGGGGTGCGCGAGTCGCCAGACGCAGTATAGGAATCGCTCAACGGCAGGAGGCACGAGAGGGGAAAGACTTCCCCTCCTTGGAAGTTGCACGAACGTTTACGAAGGGCTAGTATGCCTCTGGCTTTCGCGTGTGGCAGATTGTTTCATTCCAGCTCCTACTTCTGTCCGAAAGTACCAACTTCCGCGTGTTCTATCAAAGATGTAAAACAAATCACCAATCACTTCCGTCATCTAAAAATAGTGTCATCATATTTATTTCATTAAAAAGAAGAAAAAAAATTGCCAATCTTTTGATTTTCTTTTTTTTTTTTTATTTCTTAAGAAAAATAATTTTCTCAGTGTGAACAAAAAGTTGTTTTTTTTTTTTTTTTTAATCAAAACGTCAAGATATAAAGAATGATTATTCGGGAGATCAAATGATACACCTGTTCCGGTTTACGGCTCGTTAAACACGTCGATATTGCTGCGCGCTCGTGCTTCTGTGGTCTGACCCAAAGATAAACGAGTTTATCACTTCGAAAGCTCTGCAGTGTGAGTCACATGGGGAATTTTCTGGCAAGCATTTCACTCAGTGGATGTCTCATACTTTTGAAAAATATCCCTTTCTCATGTATTCCCATCAGCCCGTCAGAGTACAGGTATGTATAATATCATGCTATACAATGCCATTGATAGTTCCATCATACAGGGAATTGTATAGAAATGTAATAGTAGAATCCATTATCTTGCTCATATTATCCTGAACATTTTATCTCCAACATGCTGCAATGTTTTACAATCTATGTCTCATGTTACCGATCACGATATCTAGCATAATTTTGGATTGCTACTTGAGATAGAGTGTTGGATCGTTGATCGAATTGCAACATTGAATAGATGAAGAAGCATTGGAATGTACCAACTTGCATATCGAACGCTTGCGAAGTGTCTTGCATGCTTGAGAGTCAACTACAAGAGGTCTAAGATAGCATGAATGTGGTACATTCAATTAGCAATCGATCAGAATCGATATCTCTCTGTCTCGTTTCATTCAATCTCTCTATTATTATCTATAGAGTGAGATGTATCTTGATGACCCAACTCAATTCGTTGGATTTCCATGATAATATTGTTCGTATCCGTTTGATGTCATCTTGCTAATTAAATTACAGTGCAAACAGAAAATTAGTCAATGACAGCGCGTGGTTTATAATTGCATTCGGGTTATAATTGAGAATTAAAAAATTTGCATTTATGAAGCATTGAGAAATTTAATAAAAAATTAAATAGTATTACTGCTTCAAGCATTGAGAAAATAACGCGAGGAATTTAATATCGATATCAGCTCTACTTGATTCTTTCTCTATACATCAGAGTGCATTTGATTGCTGAATTAAAAAGCTATTAGACCGTTCTCATAGATAAAGTGATATGAGATCAATGCGTTTTCTGGTTTCTATTAATTGTTGTGGCTAATTGAGATGGAGAAATTCAAGAAGTTTTCCTGAAATTAAATTGTCTGGTTTGAATTATTATTATGATGTGGGATATTCTTAGATAGTTTGCCTAAAGATGAAAATAATTGAATTGGAGTGAAGCCTATCTTAGATAATATTCACAGCTTGGGAGGACTATTTTGAATTAATTATTAGACCTTTATAATGATCCTATAGGAAAGAGGTCTTCTTTAAAATTACTTAGACTACTAGAAAAACTTTTACATACTAATTAATAATGATTAACAATCAATATTATTTTTTTTTTCACTTTTAGAGTATTTATAAATTAATAAGACAAGGCTTGAAAGACTTTGATGAATAGTTTTCATTAGAAAAATATTTCAATCTATTTATAACAATTTTTATGTATATATTTCTAGAGAATAATAATTTTTAAAATTTCTAAGTACCAGAACTTTTAAAATTATGGCTATAAATAAAATATTCATTCTTTTTGTTTTATAAAAAATGTTTAAATAATGTTTTCAAAATTTTTTTTCTATTAATATTCAACAAAAAAAAAAAAATCGTTCTTTGTTTTAATATTGTTTTACCATCATTCAACTTCTCGTAAAATTGAAAAACTGTTGTAAACCATAATAAAAAAAAAATTTACCACAAAAACAAACTTCTTCCTTACAAAGCTTTATTGTTCGCTATTGACTCTCTAGCGTATATTAGAAAGAAAAAATCAGTTATCAAGATTTTTTAAAAATCGTACATCAGTTGCTATAATTGAAATAGAGCATGCTTCTTTTTTTTTCAAGAGACATTTGAATACTGTGCAAACTAATGAGAAATTAGCTGGCTCACAATGTAGGTATCTATGATATATCTTTGTGGGGTAAAAATTTTTCTCAATTGAAAAAGTCATATAGAAGAAATGAATTCAAAGGTAAAACAGAAAATGAAAAGAATAGGAAATGAAGCAACCACCAAGTGGAACGTTCCCTAGACTCGAGTTCGAACGGATTTTCTCTCTGAGAAAATACACAAACTCTATCCTTCTATTACTACTCTCATGCTCTCGCGGGAAATCTCGAATATAACACGTTTTTCAATTAAATACCCGGCCACCCCCTCCGGGAAATTTTCTGTGACTGTCGTGTGAAAGAGCAACGCCAGGAATGCGAAAAATAATTGTAGATATATAAACAGAAGTATTTTAAATAGATTCAAATGTTAAATATTAGTGTCAAAATGTTTGACTTCTCTTAAGAAAAATAGCCCGGTCATTCGCACCCAAACAAGTTGTTAAATTTGTTTTATTTCTCACTTCTTAGCAACATCTCTTTAAGACCTGGGTAATTAAAAGTTCGCCTACAGTCATGATTCCCGTGATAAAAGGAATAAAAAAAAAGCTCCGACTAGGTTTTACCGTACTCTAGATCTCCTGACTGTGGATCTCCCATTTCCGCTTAGCCAATGAGTTCACGATCGTTGGCTCTTTCTCGCGAAAAAGCCTTCATCTACCTCGGGAAATACGATAATCATTTTCTCCCTTTTCCATTCTTTCCGTTGGAATAAATAAATTGAAAAGAGGAAGGGGCAATACTTTATATTCTCTCATTATTTTTTCCCTTCTCTTTTACCACAGATCAAGAGACTTTTCAATAAATACGAGAAAAAATCGCTCATCGAAATTGTAAAAAACTCTCTCGTTCATTTTATCTAATTACTAATTACTCATTGGTGTTATTGATTTTTTTTGTTAAACGAGTTGACAAGAGGAAGCTTCTACATTGAGTACTTGCAGATAATTAAATATTAGTTGACGATACTCAAAATATTGACCATCACAGTTGCTTCGTAGTGTTGGCAATCAAATTGATACAGGAAAAGTAACTTAGATTAATCAAAGACTAGTTTAAAAATTAAATTAAATTTTTTAAAGGTGATATACAAGAGAAATATATTCAGCAGAGTGTAAAACTGTTTGTGAATCATTAAAAATAAGTTCAAAGTAATATTTATAATTATTAAAAAATTTCTCTCTAACAATTTGTTCGTTTTTCTAGATAATAACTTAGGAATAATAAAAAAGTTTTATGATTCATACTTTAATGAATAAAAGTATTAACATCAATGAAATATTATTTTTATTTAAAAAAAAATGTTGATTTCTTGGCATTGATATAATTTTTTTTGTATCTATGTAAGCCTGCAATTTTTCCGGAGATGCTAGTGGTATCTAGAAGCATCAAGACTCCTGAGGGAAGGTACAAGAATAAGGAATAAGCTAGGGCCCGCAAGATATCACTGAATTTAACGGATCTCAAGTTACTCTAGGGATCCATAGAAAAAGGAAATCAACTCGGAATATCGATGCGTTGAAAGTTTTCTCAATATTTTCTAGTCTCCGTATAAAGTGAAGAGTCTTACTGATAGTGAAAGTCGACATTTTCATTGAATGCGAATGTCTATTTTTTCATATATATGCACTACTTTTATCTTTGCCTGCACTCTTATCCTTTTCCCAGACACTCTTGACTCCAGACATCCTTGACTATCGTTCATAATTTGTCAAGAGTGTGGCAAATTCACGCTATTTGTCGGCGAATAAAAACACAATAAATCTCTTAAACGACTTAAGTAAAAAAATATTTTTTTTCTTTCTTTTGGATGTAAAGAAAAAATTGGACGGAAAAAAAAGAATAAAATGTTAAAAATATTGATAATGTATAAAAAGTTTCATACACAACTGTCAATTCCAATAAGCGACGGCTATCACTAATGGATTTTTAGTTATGTGAAAAAAAAAAATCGTTAAAACGTTTGCTTTGGTCGTGAGGGAATTAATTCTGATTGCCAAAGTATCACGAATATAACGTGAAAGAGAAAGAGAGAAACCTTTCTAAAAAACGAGGAAATCGACTAACGAGGTGGGTAGGTAACCACCCTTTGGGATCGTGCTTAGGGTACATTCTCAACGTTAATGTGAACGAACGAGTGAGTAAGAAGAAGGCAAGAACACGACAAAAAAAAGGCTTAGAGTAAAGAGTAAAGACACGAAAGAGACCCATGGATTTTCGTAATAGAGAAATACTTTTCTCTAAGCCTTAATTCATGATACTACAAATAAATTTATTGTATTCCAATTATCGCCAAATGATCTTTAAATTGAATTATTACAGTGAAGAAGGAATTTATTTTAAGTTAATTTGATTGAAGCTTTATATGAGAAATATTTTGGGGTATAATAAAATTAATTGGTACAAAAATGCAGAGAATGCAATTGCTTGAAATGGAGAGAAGCATTCACGAGTGAGATTAAAAGGATACTTGGTGTTTGTTCAGAGTAAAAAAAGAGGAATTTTTTTCAGAATTCCTCAAATTTGGAAAGAAAAAAAAAATGCAATAGCTTCAAAATTCAATCTAATTTTTACTTTGCTAAAATATGTTAATCATTTTTTTTTCATGCATTAATATTATCACACAAATTACTATTCTCTAATTTTATCAACATCAAATTACTGTGCAAGTGTGATGTTTTTAATGTAATTTAACTTCAACCAGTTTTTCATTTTCATATTTTTTGAAGTACGTTGAAAAAAAAAATATAGTAGTTTTGCATAAAGAAGTTAATTTTGATAATTCAATAGAAACAGGATGATTTTTTCATCTTTGCATAAAAATATATTAAAAAAATACTAGTGATTATAAAGATGAATGCATTATGAATATCAAACTATATTAAGTCAACATATTTGAAATATTTTATTCATACTATTCAGATTGATTTCCAATCTAATTGAGAATTTTCATAAGCTACTTAACTTCCGGTATCAATATAATAAATATTTTAAAAACAAAAATAATCATTCAAACACAAAGAAAATCTTCTTTACATTTTCTCCAACTTTGTTTTGATTTTTATAAAATTAAAAAAATACATTTTTTTTCTGTTTGTAAAGATTCTAGATCTTGTTGTGTTATAAATGCAATTATTTTTTATGTAGATAATTTAATTGGTTATAATGATCATTAAAATTGATGGGAACATTTACTGAAAAATACAAGTAAGAGAAATTTCGAAACAAAACGTTTAAGTGGAAAATCCGCTTAGCACTAGGTTTACGCGTCGATCGGGAATCGATAGAGCTACAGCCTGAGGCACATAGAACTTTATTTTTTAGTTTTTTAGTTTTTCATTTACCCTTTTTTTTGTTTCTTTTTATAAACTTTTTTTTACCCCGTAGTTTTCTATACTTACGAGTTTCAATAAAATAGAGAATGATTCCGTTGGTACATCAAACGATACCGATTTTCGTATTGACTTTTCAAAATGATTCCCTCTTTCTCTTTACCATCAGTTGGCTATATTTCTTTCATATTCCTCTCGTTTTCCTACTGCTACTCTGACACTTCATGTAGCTCGGTTCGCTCAGCGGCTTCAAACAATTGCTCGGCATTTGGTGAAATTGCCTTTGGCTTCAAGTGAAACGTTCGTGGAATACATATGCATGTGCGTATATACATCGTCATTTTGCACCAAGTGTTACTGCAAAACGCTTACTATCGCACGTACAATTCGAATAGTACTAACCATCATTCAACTCTTGTGATCCTCTCGTTATCAGTAAAGTAGTATTTCCAATGAATTTCGCAGTTTATGCGTCTTTGATATTTCACAATATAACCCCCTCTTTTCCAATCAACATCTCTTTATTTACTATGCATGACAAAATTCTATTTATATGATAATTTTTTTTTTTTTTTCTAAATAAACCAACCATTTTTCTTTGGATTTTTTTTGAGAGAACTAAGCTAAAATTATTTTAATTTGCAAACATTTTTTTATGGCTAAAATATTTTTTTTCGCTTCAAAATAAAAAGTTTATCAAAGAAAAAAAATCAAGGATATTTTATAAAATATTTTTCAGTATAAAAAAAAAAAGAAGTAATAAGAATTTTACAAAAATATTTAAAGTAGTTGAGATGAATTTTAAGGTTTAAATATTTTTTCAAATAAATACTTAAGCATAATATTCAGAGGAAATATTTTTTTTTAAATTCTTCCCATTTTTTTTTTTTTTTAAATCTTTTTCATGTAAGAGAATCAAAGTTTCTATGTCTCTCGTATTTCTATCTCATTCTTTGAAATCCAAATAACTCAATAAAATTCCTGAGAATTTCCTTCTGAAGAAAAGTTTCGAATTTAAATCCGTTTGGTCTCAACATGTCATTTAATCAATCCAGCGTCACGTTCTATTTTTTATAGGATTTTCCCAAAACTCTAAAGAATTCCTAAAACCAAATTTATCCTTTGAACTCAATCAAATACAAATATTTACACGATAATCAAATAATCCTCAGATAATAATAAAAAAAAAAATTCCCCCTTTATGGTTCTAAAAATAATTAAATTATCCTGCAGGTAATTAGGAAAGTTTTAATATGAACAGTAATTGATCAGTTAAAGAAAGCCATTCCTTGTTGTATAAGACTCCAACACAGTAAGTGCAGGAAATGATGGAAAGAGAAACGGAAGTGAGCAGAGAAAGGAAAGATGAATATTCCTACGATTCATGGTTATCTTGGAAAGACTCTTGGTCCAATTTCCACCAATAAAAGAGAATAATCTCAGCTCGATAAGCGAGTTATCCAAGTTCCATCCAAGGTTTAACTTTGCTTTAGTCTTCCTATGGAGACTTCAGCACGTGCCGAGATGGTCTACTTAGTCCAGTAATGAATTCTTTCGTATGTTTACTCTACTCGTGATGATTTTAGGACTAACTTTAGGCCGATTAAATTTTTTTATCTCGTAAAGTACGAATGGGAACATTACAGTGAGAATGAAGAGAGTTTGAATAGAATGAAATAGCTGCTTTAAAAGTATTAATGTTTTTATTCAAGCAGATTATGTGAAATTAATATTGATGTCAATTTAATACTCACCATTACAACTTTAACTATCGATCGAAATGATGGTCCGAATAAATAGGAATGGATGATAATAAAGTTTTAGTACAGATTTTTGAATTTTTTAAAAGGTTATTGAACCATTATCTCATGAAAATAAAATACAATTCTCACCAATGTATTTAATTTCTATTTTTTTTTGGAAATATAAAAGTTATGAGTGAAACAAATATTAGAACATTCGAAATTATAAAAAAAAACATCTGTATTCATATCCTAATTAATTTTTAAAATTTTTGAAATGGTAGGAAAATAGCTTTAAACATGAAACAATTTTTCTCATGAACCTCAATATTTTTATGGTCCCTTGAGAATCAGTTGATAATCAAAAATCAAAGCATTCCAGTTGAAAAATCATATTGAAATATTCACTAATAACAATTTATTATCCATTAACTATTCATTTTACATTCGTTTCACATATTTTGCAATAGACTATTGGTATTAACAATAGAGTACTAACTTTATGTAATTTTTGATTAAAAATGGCCATGAAGAACATCTTTAGATGAAACTGAGACAATGTGAGAACAACAAGAACTTATAATTACTTCAATATTCTCAATAACAATTTTTTTAGGTCTTAACTACTAAAGAAATTACATTAAATAAAAAATGAAGAATTGATAAAAAAAATTTTATGAGTCATTCTTTTACTTTTTAAAGTACCCCATTTTACTCCTGGCACCTCGTACTGCCTTGGTTTCTCCTCCACCAAAAGGTAAAAAGGAACCCCATGTAAAAATAATTTTGTTAATTACCCATTTTTTTTTAATATAATTTTTTTTATTACTTAAGGGATATAGAAAATGTTTATTAAAAATTGTAAAGTAAATATAACTCGTCAATGTTCCCATATTACCCTAGTCTCCCTTAATCAACCGAACATTAATAATTTATCGAAAAATGAATTAATAAATTCAATTATTCGTTCACATACATGAACATAACGAAGTAAAGCTAGTATTTAATAATAATTTTATTTAAATATTGACTAGAATTCAATGAAGTATTTATTTCAATTATTAAATACTTTTCTTTATTGACTTTATTTATTTTATTTTCACTTTTTGATCTTCAATCTCAGTTATTTTTTTTCCTTTTTATTCACTAGTTCTTTGCAGTTTCTCTACACTCCAATATACAGCTCATGTGTGACAGCTGCATTTGGCATCGGTTAAGTTTTGTAGCGACCTAGAATTGTTGTCCTGATCGTTTTTCACGCTCTGATATTAAGTGCCCGTCGATATCGCAAAGACAAAAAAAAAACAAGAGTTTTGTTCATATATCTATAAAGAAATCCAGATGTTAACGGATATCCTAATATATATATTTTTCTTCAGTAATATTTTTTCTTTTCTTTACAGGACACGAAACAATATCGGCAAATAGCCTTTCCGATTGCTGTTGGGACATAACTCAGACACTTGACGGTGCAGAAGAATCATTTTGAAGCAATAAGCAGTTAAAATCAAATGATTCGTCAAAATAAATCACGAAAAATGATTGGCTTTAATGTTAATTGAACACAAAAGTGTAAGAAAAAATCTTTAGATGAATAATGATGAAAATGGAGAATTAAATAAATGAAATAATTAAATAAAAAAGTCGTTAAAGATGAAAAAAAAGTGAATCAAAGCTTGAATGAAAATTTGTTAAGTTGATTTCGACGTGAAAGAACTCACGATTTGTTGGAAACGTGTGTAGAGGGCGATAGAAAATAGGATAGGAGATAGAATAGAATAAGGGAGGAAAGAAAGTTGATAGCATTGTGTGTGAAAAAGTGAATAAAAGAAAAAGAAAGGAAAATGTGTTGCTCTGGAGGCACGAGTGGTTCCAGGATGACCCGATGTGGAGTCGTTTGTGGTCTGGCAGCACTCGCCGCACTTTCGACTGCACTTCTTGGCCCAGCTTGGCTTCACACTGAAGAAAAACTTTTCCTTCCACATCTTCCACGACAGTTTGCGTCTACAGTCAGTGTCAAATTCAAACTTGGACTTTTCAAAGTATGTCCAAAGATAGTAAAGCCAGCTAATTTAACAATTCGTAAGTACTTAAATATAAATTTATTATTGATTTGATGTTTCTAGTAATTATGACATTGTTTACTTATGCATTCATTTATTTCGATGCAAATAGAATATGAATGAGGAAATTAATTTTCTGTATATTATTTGCTGAATTTAATGAGCCAGATTGTGTGAAATTGCAGGTAATGTCTGGTTAATTTGCATTAAAATAAATATGCTAACTGTTTAAATATTATCTATTATTAAAGCAACAGATGTAGATTTATTCAAGTAATATTATTCGTGAAAAATCAATATAAATTTTAAATAATTATGGTTTATTAATTTACTCTGACACCATATATTATTAATTATTAAATAAACATTATTTTATCATCGTCAGGTAATTTTATCAAGCAGCAATTTAATAAAGTAAATATTATATGTCTGTATTTTTATTTTTAAAAAGAGTAGATGAATACTGCTAAAATGTGAAGACAAAAAAAAAAAGATATTTTGATATTTCAGACACTGTGTTTTATTTTCTTGATGTTGACGTTTTCATTTTGTCGCCTGCTTGTTACTTTTTTTTTGCATCGTCTATTCACTCTATTGTTACCAACTTTTGTGTCATTTTTGTGCTATTTTATGCTACGACACTTTTACACTTATGTGGAAAAATATACCAATTATAATAAATTTATAATAATGGCGATTGTTCGAGACCACTCGGTACCTTTTGATGATTCTGAATAGAGGGTTCAGGGTTATCAGAGGGTTGTTTTGGATGAGAAGTAACTTGATACTTTTCACATTCAATGGACGTAGGATACTGCTGAAAGTTGGGGGAACTTGTAACACATTTTAGCCTCAAGCCTCCCCTGAGGCATCTTACGTGTGTTATTTAACTTCTCGAAAGGACCTAAATTGTTTTTTCACGTCTGATTCTTTTTTTGGATTAGGGCAACGTTCTTTTTGTGTTTCTAATTATGTACGTAGTCACTTGAATGGCGTGGGTCAGTATTTTTTTTCAATAATTCTTTTTATTATTTAATAAAGAGATTTTGAATGCCTCTTGAAAGGGTGTCCTAGATAAAATGTTTGGATTTTAATCCAATTTTTTTTCATTTGATGGTGTGTTTAAATAAATTAGTATAATTAATCTTCACAATTGGTGTCAATAATTAAATTATTTTTCATAATATAAAATATTCCTTTGATTAAATATTAATATTAAATGTTATGAATGAAAACAAATCAATTTATTTATTATTATATCTTTCATCACTTACTTCACATGTTGGAAATCATATTAATGGATTCGTGCCAATTACTTCCGTCTTTCAGGCATCTGAAAATGTAATTAAATACATAATGCAGAATTTTATCATTTTATTTAATTTTAATAATTGTATCAATTCATAGATATTTAGAATTTTTTAAAGCAAATTATTATTAACCTTTTAAATCAGATGATAAAAAAAAATTTTTTGTTTTAAAATGTTTCTCTATTAATTATTCTCTATGTAAAGTTTCGTTTATAACATAACACTAATTCGAATGAAAAATTTCAAAATAAAAAATACTGCAGAAAAATATCAATTTTTTATTGAATCGAAATATGCTTTTAATGTTGAGTTAATTTTTTTCATGTAGTCTCCCATCAATCACAGTTTAATAAAATTTGATAAATATATAGATAATAGTGCATTATCACTGTCAATATTGAATTTCTATCCCCCATGGATTTTTCTCTCATGACTGGACATTTTTAATCGCATTTATAATTAACTAAAACCGTAATGGTGCGAATAAAGTAATCGGTATCATATATGATCTTGGTTCTACAATAGCAAATAACAATTTTATTCGGATGATTGAACGCAAAACTGACTGGCATGTTTCCGCAGGAAGCACCAGGAATATCTAGGACATGTGTCAAAAAAGATAAAAAAAAATGAAAAATAGAGGACGAAAAAAATGTAGAGTACGACAGGGCGATATTGTAAAACAATTGATAGATGGTTCCAACGAGACAGGGGTTGAAGTGGTGCTGGTTTGGGGCATCCATCTTGCTATCTCGTTCCATCTCCTGTGCCCTTAGCGTACGTTCCCGCGGTCCGATAAGTCGTCTCGCCAATGAAGACAAATCGCTCGCGTCCCGCCGTTCTACCGAGGTGTAATTAATCGTTAAAAAGACACGTAACGAGTTGGTTGGGCGTTTCGTGAGACTTTAGATGTGTTTTTAAGATAAAGCACGTCTTTATCATGAATTTTACGGTTTATAGAATTAACAAATAATTACTTATCACAGCCATTTATTTTTTTAAACCTTTTTAAACCTCACTTCCATCAAAAATGTCCTATTTACTGATGAAAATTTATTTCTTTTAATTTACCAAAAAATTTTCAAAGTTTATTTCTTAATTGTAAATATTGATTTATCCTGTTTTTATTACTTATTGATTTTTCCTCTAAATTGAAACTCAATTTCCACAAGTCGGATATTCAATTACTAGTTTTAGTTTCATGTTGCAATTTAAATATCATTCGATACTTTAAATATAATTTTTAATGATGCTAAATTGTGATAAGAATTTATAAAAAATTTTAATTCTGCCAATAAAACGTGCTAGAATCATGATAAAATTTTTGTTTATCATTTTTTGCATTGCATGAGGTCAAGTTGAGTCAATCCATCAACGAGACACGTTTTTAAAATAGTTCTAGAATTTTTTGACGGTTTATTACAACCACTATTTCAACAGTTCTATTATTTACAAAATTGAAAAATCTAACGATCTAAATTGTATCAAATTATTTATAAAGTTTGTTATAATATTTAAAATCTATTTTTAGAGAGAAATCCAAGTCACATACTCATATACAATACTCCACTTTCTATTCTAGGGCATCAAAAATAGAAGAAAAAAATTTTTTTATCTAAGTTTCACGGTATCTAGACTTTTATTGACAATTATTTACTGCATAAAGTTTTCTCGCTTTTTGAAACATTTTTCAACGCCCGAAGCTATTTGATTATAAATCGGTAATTGAAAAGTAAAGTTTTTACGTGAAATTTTAATTAAATTTAATTTGCTCTAGATAATTTTTTTTATTGTACTCTTAATTTTATTTTGTTGTTCAATATATTCAAAAGTGATTATTACTCACATTTTTATCTATCAAATCAATTAAACAGAAAAAAAACAAAGAATTAATTGCTGATTTTTTTTTATGTAGCAAACATTAATGAAAATTCAAGTTCAATACTATAATTTTTTATTAGATTATTTTTTTATCCTACTACCTATTTCTTGGTCCTTTTTCTTACTCGTTAAAGCTCTAGCCCAAGTCGTCGACTCTAATCGAATTAAATTCGAAAGTTTCACTGGGCGTCCAGCCGTGGGAAAGCACTCTTTGTTCGTCTATTCTCGAGGCTTTAACTATTACATTGTTGAATCATGTATGTGTATTGTGTTTATCTCACATTCTCTTTTTTACCCATTTATTTTTCGAATTCATCCTAAAATGTTACTTTAAATGAAATAATGATAACAATTTCACTATTAATGGATACTATTTAGAAAGTTCCAATTTTTTTAATCAAATTATTTGATAAAGAAGCGATTATTTGATGGAATGACTATAGGAAACATCTCATTGATTATTATTACAAGCGGAATCTAATGATTAAACATCAGATTGAGGAAATAGAGGAATCGAGAGAATTATTTCAGCAATATCCCAACGTTGTTAGACCATCAAACTAACTCTAAAGACGCTGGTAAACACGTGAGATTACTCTATAGCGTATTTACCCTACCAGAGATGAGACCTCTAATATCTCAACAGGGAGTATTAACATAATATTAACATTCATTTCAAATATATCAACACATTAATATAATTATTGCTTCAATTTACATCAACTTCCACCATTTTTTTTTTTTTTTTTGTAGAATAATAAATAATTGACCACCAATATCATGTGGTTGTGAGGTTCAATATAAAATTACGTCGAGTAGATGAATAAAAATGATAACTAGCTTTCACGCGGAACCACAAAAAATATTCACAAAGCAAATTCAAAAGGCTTATTGTAACATCAAAAAATAAAATATACGTAACATAGATAATGCAAGTATAATAAAAATTTAACTTTTTGCTTGACATAATTCTCTTTTTTTTTTTTTTCAATACTTTATTATCCTGTCAGAATGCATCAAGAATCCAACGAATAAAGCAAAATGAAAAATAAAATTCAATCCTCCCGTTTTGTTCCCCATTTTCTCATATTCGAACCCTCTGCATGAATTTCCAGAGAATTTAGATCTCGAGAGCATTATTCATGGCCGTGGAATAATTCCTTTCAGGACGAATGACAATGAGAGGACGAGAGTATCGCTAGAGGCATTTCGAATTCTGAACAAAAAAAAATATATTTTTTCATTATAGTCCTTTTTATTTCAGTTCACGTAGTTCTCATATTCTACGGTGAGTCTCTTGCGTCTTACCTTACGAGAGTCCTTTGGGAAGGAATGTAAAAGGATAGTCCAGTTGTTTATGTTTGGTCATATAATACTTCTGATGGAACCTTGTTTCTTGACAATTGCGATTTTTTATTATTTTCTTGTCAATGTGATGTAACATTCTATGCTTTTTCATCATAAAGTTAACTAAATGAAGATCTCAAGTATGGAAGGGATATGGATGAATAAAATAAAGCGATCCATTTAACTATGGGTGTGGATAAATAGACGTGACGGAGGCATCTCACGTGGGAACTACAATAATGAAGTTATTTGTAATTCAGACGGCCGATCAAATCTTCCTAATTTCCGGGGATGCTCCACTTAAAATTCCACTCGCACTCAGCGACGAGGTAGTTGAACATTTACTCAGCGACTCGGTCGCTTAATCTCGATTAAAAAGCGAAACATTTAGTCGTTCATTCATTTCATATTATAAGATAAAACTGGAGTAGCGATTTATTTTTCTTTTCTAGTTAAAAATACACTTCTTCAAGGGGATTTGTGACAAAAAACTGTGATAAGGCAGACATTATACCTTTCATTAAACAAAAGAAAAACGATCTTTAATAATTAATTTATTTTGATTTATCAATTTTCAATTCGAGCATCAGTTTTATTTTCAAATAAATTGCAGAGAACTTTTATTGTAGTTTGGTATTGTTGTTAGAGGTGGAGATCATATTTATATTGTGTGCGGTTTATTTATAAAAATTTTTTTATAATAAAAAAAAATTTATAGTTGAATGTAATCGACAAAAAAATAATGGAATTTTTTATTTATTTTTTTCTTTTTTTAATAAAATTATCTAATGTATTTTTTTAAAATTATTTTTAAATTTAATGCAAGCATCAATGTTAAAAAATTACGTCAAACTATTAAAAACTATTATTCACCATAAAGTTCACAGGTTTACTGCACTTTTAACCTTTTTACTTGATCCATCTCTTTAATATTTTCTCTATTCGAATATTAAAAAAATTATTTAGCCATTTTTCATCGTTAAGCACAACTATAAAATTTTAACTCTCGTGGTTATTGTGGTTGATATTAATTCATTCAGTTAAAAAAAAAAAACAAATATCACAACTTCAGGAAGAATAAAAAAAATATTCTTAATACTTCTTGTCACTCTTACGAGTGGAAATAATCACAGACTCTCGTACAAAGTTGTGCTCGCTGGGAGTTCTTCTCGTTTCCTGGTCATTTTCTTTTTCTTACAAACGACGGGAGGGTAAAGTCTTTGCGTGGTGGTAATCCTTCGTAGGGGTCCCCTGTGGCGCATAAAAACTTCGCGTCAAAACGTTTAATACGTCTCGCTGGGTAGGTGTGTGAGAGATGGTGTATGAAAAAACCTCAACGACTCTCCGGGCATGGTATTCCTAAACGAAAAACATTTTCGCGTATAATGTAACAGCGTCGCGTCATCATATATATATATATAAAAGTATAAAAAAGCTCATATTTTTTTTTGCAATGTCTATAGCAGAGCTTGAAAGACGCAGCAAATTTTTCCTGGATTTTTTTCGAGTTTGGATATAACTAGAACTAAAAAAGTCTTGGCTTGTCTTGAGAAAAGAGGCACACAACGATAATAAGTAAGGAAAAGTTAACCAAACGTACCAAGTCGTGTTCTCACACGCGATTTTCTCTTTTACACTTTTCTCTTATATTCGAGAAAACCACTGGTAGTTTTTCGAGTACTTGACAACGCCATCTCTTGCTCTCTTGTGCTTGTGGCTTTTTTTATTTTTTATCCGCACTATTTTTCCTCCATTCAATCTGAGAGGAAACGAGAACAGAAGAGAAAAGCCGAAA